TGGCCTTGTGCAAGCCACTTACCTCTCGAAGCCCATGCTTCTTCCTGTGTAAAGTGGGGATAATAATGGTGCCTACATAGAGTTGTTGCAGGATCAAGAGTTGAAATAAAAAGCACATTTCAAGTGCTCAGCACAGTACCCTCCCCATAGCAAGTGCATGTTGAGATGGTGAGACCAGTGATGGAGGGACTGGTGAGCAGGACCACTTGTCAAAAGCAGCCCTTCTAAGGAAGTCTGTGAGCAAACCACTTTCCCAGACCAAGAGTTCCTGGAGAACTGCTAGTGATATTGCTGCCTGGGGTAGCAGGAAGAAGAGGAGGCAATTACACAGCGCGTAACAAAAACAACTTCATTTCTATCGCCTTTCCCTGCTGGGCCACTTGGAATCCAAGCAATAACAGCAAAGTGGGGTAGGGACAAGAAGCCCCGTGACCAATGGACAGGCCTCAGGACTCACTCAGGCTCCCCACCATCTTCAGGGGGTGTCCTTGGGGCCATGGCTGCTGTTTGGCACACTGAGCTGCACCTAGAGTTGGAGGTCAGGGCTGGCGGGGGCCTATGGACAGGACCCCAGGAGCTAATACTGCTTAACCTCACTCACCATCCTGTCTGGGAGCAGGCTGGCATGACTTACAGGGCTCCAGGGAAAGCCTGGTGCTCCCTGTATCCCCTCCCCATCACTGCAGAAAGCAAAGAGTTTGCCATCTCCTCCTAGGAAAAGCAAAGATCCCTATAGGTGCCATCAGATGACAAAGTTGCCTAAACTGCACTAAGCCAATGCCTTATACGTGCATACATACCTAACATCAACCACTTACTTACAAGGCCTCCAAGAGTCCACCTCTCAGCTCCCACCCTCATACACTGCCCACACTCTCTCAGATGCCCTGTGGCCTCTGGGTCTCAGACCCTGGGGCACTGTAGCAGCACAGCCTCTTCCATCCAGAGAGTGGGGAGTCCCCAGTGTGTCACCTCTGGCTCTTCTCTGTACACTGGAGCCAGCAGGGGCCTCTGCTCCTCCACAGAGAAACATTCCCATGTCTCCTAGGGAGAGAAGAGGCTGCACCCTCCCAGGGGACATCCCAGCTTCCAAGGGTGTTGATTTAACCCATTTATCAAATTGAGGTGAAAGGAGAAAGAAGGGGAATGTGTGCAGATCAGAAGGACAAGTTCTCTCCTTTCTCTGGACCCAAAAAGGAACAAACCAAGTGGCTAATCTTATAGTTCTATTCCTCTACCCACAGTACTGACACTATAATCAAGCTATTTTCCAAGCCTGTGCATTTAGATAATGTGATTCTATTGTTTAAAACAATAAAAAAGAAATCTTCAAATACGTTGGTGGTGGCTACAGGTAAGAGGCAGGATGTATTAACATTGGATTCCAACACTATTAGAGTAATTTAAAAGGCTGGAGATATCTGGCTCTTGCCCAGCACTGGCGAATAAGCCACCTGCACACCCTGAGTGGCTCCATTTAGCATCCTGGAGAGCTAGAGAGCTCATACATAACCCCAAGGCCAAATCATTGGTCCTCCCAGGCCCATAAGATGCCCTGTGGAGGTGGGGGAGGGAAATGTCATGCTGGGGTTCAGCTAAATGAGAGGCCACATCCATGGGAGGGCATCTGCTAGGGAGCGGAACCAAACTGTGCCCTTCCTTCTGTATGTGGTTTACAAGCACTTCCTAGATGCAAAATGCTCTCTTGCTAAGCAGAGCTCCTGATGGGATGGAGAAGCTTTGGTTGTCGAGCCCAATCCTGGAGCTCTGGAACTAGAAAGAGTATGCCACTCCTTTTTGGAAGAACTTGAATAACAGGAGAGAGACCACCATATTTCTGGACTAAAGGAAAAGCTTCCCTGTTTAGGGTCTGGGGTATCCAGGATGACCTCTGAGGAAGACAAATAATCTAAGATAACTACGGAGTCCCAGTAACTACAACTGACCAGGCAGCCATTCTAAGTTATTTTCAAGACCTCAACTCTTAGGTTAGTTACTATGACCTGTGACACACAATCTGGTGCTTGGGGTCCTGGCGTTATAAAACCTCAACTTTGATTCTGCCTTCCCTTCCTAGGGAGTAAGGAAGGCAGAAACACTCACTGCTGGAGATGCATAGGCATTAAGCCCTGAGGGAGAAAGAAATGCAGGGGGGCAGGTCAGAAAATATGAGTCACTGGAAAAGGTGGGGTTAGCTCAAGGAGTCTCATCATTCTCATTCTCTACCCCCCTGCCCATGCCATCTGCACAGCCTGCTTCTTCAACACTCAAACGAGACCTTCCATTTGTAGGGGAGATGGAGACAGCTGTTTCCAGGCTGAGCCCACATGCTTTTCCCCTTACACATGTTTGTTTGCTCAGAGAACGGTGATCTCAGGCCTATCTAAATTCAGCAGATCAATCCCTGGTATATATGAGGTCATATTTTTTATGAGCCCCTGAGCTTCCTTTGTTTTCTCTGGTTTAGAAAGAGAAACAGGAGGGTTTCTATCAAGTCCAGACTTGCCTGCATCATTGCATGTTCTAGACAAATGTAATGTAACCTTGCATGTGAAGGTAGAAGACTGACTATCCCACAAGCAAAGTTATTGGACTTATTCACTCCTATGAGCTTCCTAGCTTATAGATCAAATCAATGCAGTCAATATGTCACTGCCAACAGAGCACGAGTGGCTACCAGCCCTGGGGAACATAACGTGCTACTAAGCTGCACTAATCACTCCTTGGTATTTCAGGAGCAGTTGAGTTAGCAAATCACAGCACGTACAAAATGAAAGACAATTCCCTCAGAAGGGGAGGGTAGGTGGAACATAGCAGGTTGGCCCCAGACAGGGACAGGTCAATCTGAAGCCATACTGGAGATCCTTAGAGAAGTAAAAAAAAAAAAAAAAAAAAAAAAAAAAAAAAAAAAAAAAAAAAAAAAAAAATCTGTTTTAAAAAGAAGAAAGGTCCAGGAAAATCCTGGGGGAGAGGAGATTGGGCTGCACCCTTTATTGCAGCAAAGGGATTTAATCAGGGGGGTGGTCCCTCCATCAACAACAGTCTCACACCTAAAGCAAGGAGGTCAATGAAAGACCGTAATCATGTTCCTTCCAGTCAACGGAGTTAGAACTTTTATGAGAGGTGATTTCTTAACCCAATGTACTTATGAGTCACCCAGATCACCCAGATATAGAATTAATATATACAGCACATCCCTGGGCCTCAGCTTGAGATTCTCATTCAGCAGTTCTTCCGGGAAGAACCAAAAAATATGCATCTTAACCAGGTTCCCAGGTGATTTAGATGCAGGGAGTTCATTAAAACAAACAAAAAAATCACCTTGGAGAAATGCCCTAGACCTCTACAGTAAATCAGAACACACACACACACACACACACACACACACACACACACACACACCCCGCCCCCATTACCAGGCACCTCTCATCCCCAGGCTGTGCAGGAAAGGTAGAAGAAATTCAGAATGCTCTTCAAGGGAACAAGCTGGGGCTACCACCACCCTTACTTTACTCTAAGTCTAACCCTCTTCCTTGTCAGATTTGATTTCAGAGATAGCATCACACCACCACCCCTGATCACATGCCAGGAATTTTGAACACTAAGCAGAGAGGTCAAAGGCAGGGGACTGGGACCCAGCAAACCACTCACTGATTCTCTTGCAATTGGTCACATTTATCGTGGCCTCGCTCTCTCTGCCCACCTTCACCAAACAGCAGGAAGGAGGAGAAAGATGAGAAGAATGATTTCTTTTTCAAGTGGTCCTAATTCCGCAGGATGAATCAGGGATGCGCAGAGTATTGGCATCGTCCAAAAAACGGAGAATCACTGAAAATCTAGTTTCTGGGGAGGATCTAAGATTAGCCTGAAAGGTTTGTAGCCTGGTCACAATCCATAAGTAGTTGGATCCGCAGAAGAAACTGCAAAGATCCACCAAGTGTCTTGCACCCCACCAACCTCAGGAGCCTCCAGCACAAAAAGTACTGGGGTGCCAGGTGGGGCAACAGGGACTCGCTCAGACAGCTTCCCTGTGGCTGAGACAAGGACCTGTCCCCACGGAGCTGCAGTGCTGTGACTTGTGTCCAGGACGAAACCTGTTGTGTACATGCACACGCAGCTTCTTGCCTCCGCTCTTCAAGAGGAAGAGGAACCGCGCAAGGGCTGCCAGCCTCAGACAGGGAGAGGGACAGGCTCTGTCTGGCGCTCAGAGCTGCCTGCCTCCTTCCTCCGCACCCCATCCTACCTGGCCCTTGGTCCATTCCAGAGTCAGACAGTCCCTCTCCGCTACTGCCCCACCATCGTACCGGTTCTCAAGTCTAGATGGGTCTGAAACCCCAGCCTCCCTCCTCAACTGGATCTCAAACAGGGAGATGGCTAAGGAAAGCGTTGATTCAGGACCAAGGACAGCGGCACATTAGAAAGCGGAAGAGTAAAGCCAGAACCCGCCTCTCCCCAGCCCTGGGCTCCGGTCCTTAGAAACTGAAAAGTCTCAGGTCGCACCAATGCAGCCTTGCAAAAATAACCCTTCTCCTCCCGTGGCGGTCGGAACCTCTGGCCAGGCGCCCTGGGGTTCCGGGCTCAGGCGCAGGGATGAAAGTGCCCTCTGGAGATCGCCGACAGGCGGCCGCCCTCTGAAGCTGCGGCTCCGTGGGGCTCGCTCCGGGTGCTCCTCGGGGAAGCTGCCCGAGTCCCGCCCGCTCGTGCCTGGGGCGATTCCCGCTCGGGCGGCGCGAAAGATGCCGAGAGGAAGGGAGAGGGGACGGCAGCCGCTGCATTCCCGTTGCCCCCCGCCGCCACCCCCACCCCCACCCCCGCTCCCGGCAAGCGGCGCGAAGAAAAGTCCGTGGAGAGCCCTACGGCAGGCGGAGCAGTCCCGGGCAGACCGCGCCAGAGTAGCCAAACTTCTGGCCCGGCTGCACCGGCCTCCCAGCTCCCTCCTCCACCCCCTGCGACCGGACTCGGCCTGGGGCCGCCGGTCACTCCATCCTGCTGGCGCTTACCTTCAAGCCATAGGGCGCACTGGGGCAGAGACGGAGCGGGCGCAGGCTGCTCGAGGCTTCCGTCTCCCGCCGCATCCACCCTCGGCCGCCCCTCCGGCAGCCGTCTGGGCCGCCGCTTTCCTCGGCGGGTCCCCGGCTCCCGGCCCCTCCGCGCCGATCAGTGCCCCGGCGGGCAGCCGCTGGCTGGGCTCCGGCCTTCGGGAGCAGTGGACCGGCCGCGGCGGGGCGGGGCACCGGTTTGGGCGTGCGGCGCAGGACCAGGCGTGGAGGCCGCGCGGTGCGCGCCGAGGGCCGCCAGCTCCGGCTCTGATCCTAGACAGCTCCGCTGCGCCCGTGCGCCGGGAACGCGGGAGGGCGGGGCGGGGCCGCCGGGGCCACGGGTGCCCTGAGCCCCGCCCCTGGGACAGGCCCCGCCTTGCCCTACTGTGCGCCGGAGTCCAGGCTCCCAGTGCCAGAGCTCCTTGGGAGCGGCTTAGGGTCGGGGCAGCAGTCTTTCCTGGCTTTGGGACAGGTCGGAACCAGGCAGGAACTGAGCGGTCGCCTACACATTGCGCTCCCCCCACACCCTGTATATATGCGGGGCTGCTGTGAGAAGTGGCTTCAGCGCCGGCTTATCCGTTTCCTCCTTTGAAAAGTCGGAGAACAAGGACTGGTGGGGCCCGGGAGGCACCACCATCCAGGGAGTCACGGGAGAGGAGGGTCCCAAGGTCCGTTTTCTTTTTTTATATAGAAAGTCTTTTTTTTTTCTAGTAATGTACTTACTTTTTTCCCCTTTCTTTTTTTATAATATATTTTTATTGATTTCAAAGAGGAAGGGAGGAGAGAGAAATATCAATGATGAGAGAGAATCATTGATCAGCTGCCTCCTGCACGCCCCAAACGGGGGATCAAGCCTGTAACCTGAGCATGTGCCCTGACTGGAATCAAACCGCGACCTCCTGGTTCATAGGTCATCACTCAACCACTGAGCCATGCTGGCTGGGCCAAGGTCCGTTTTCTGACCTCTGCTCTTGGAAACCCTGTGGTCAACTCCCTTTTGTTGCTTGATTCTTCCTGGCGAAAGCCTGCTTGGAGCTGACCTAAAATAAAAATTCAAAAAGGGGGCTCTGGGGTTCCAGCTCAACTTTGACTCCAAATGGAGGCGGGGGTGGGGAGGAGAGGAGATTGTAGTGTCCTCTGCCCAGGGTCCTTTGGGCTACAGAAAAATCTCCTTCCTCTCCTATTACCCCCCCTCCCCCGCCCCCATTCCCTTTCTTCTTTAGGAATTAGTATAGACTGCCCTCCCTCTGCTGGGCTCTATGTCAGATTCTGGGATCACAGAGAGGAATAAAACCAGGCCCTTGCTCTGATGTCCTGCCAATCCAGAGTGGAGACCTGCAGGAAATAGTGTAACATAGCACAGCACCTATGGCTCAAACAGGTGCTGAGGAGCACAGACCAAGGAAACCTCACAGGGGGCTGCCCGTTGGAGAAGCCCAGTTCCACAGGGGAGAGGCAGCACTGCATTCCAGGCACAGGGAGCAGCATGGGAGAAGGACTGACCTTGCATGCCAGGGAGTCAGTCCACTAGGCTGGAGTCAAGCCACTCTAGGCCACAAAGATTAAGTTTGCATTTCCTCCATTGAGCCACACAATTATGGAAAATTGAGTTGGAAAGGGCCTTAGCATTCATCTAATTTCCACTTTGATTGCTCTAGAAGGGGGAACCAAGGCCCAGAGAATTGGAATGACCTTCCAGATCCCACAGAGATCAGCACTGGACCATTTGCCCAAGCAAAGACCAGCACTTCTCTCAAATGCAGCATCTTTGGAGGAAGCTGAAGCAGGAGTAAGTGGACATAGTGTTCCTCTTCCCCTACCCCTTGCCTTTGGAACTATGGTGTGGATCCGGACTGTCCCCCACGCCCCCCGCCCCCTCCAGCCCCCGCAAGCTTCATAGGGGGATTTTACAACAATCAGGAATCCTAACATGTTGACTTATTTGCTTTCAAAGCAATGAAACATTACAGACATAGTTGAAACGCCAGTGCTCCTCCTCATCTACTTAGGCCATTCTTTCCAGGTTTAATCCACTTAAGGAGGATTTGGTGCCTTCTAGCTCAGCACCTCCGCATGGGGTCCAGGGCAGAGCCACCCAGCATGGAGGCTACCCCTCTTCTGACTAGTCAGAGGACTTGGATTGGTGTCCTGCTTCTGTCACCTGCCAGTTGTGTGACCTTGGCTAAATTGTTTAATCTCTCTGAGCCTCAGATTCCCCGTCTTTTAATTGGGTTTAAAAATACCTTTCTTTCTGGCTTCACTGAAGGTAATAGATGAGGAAGTGTTAGACAATTGTAGCCTGGCTGCTCCGAGGGGGGGTGGGGGGCAGGGGGGAGGGTAGCTTGCCCATTCAGGTCTCAGAAGAGAGAGCAAGATGTTACCTCCGTGGGCTCTACCGACCCAAGAACACTGTGTCTCCGTGCTGCCTTTTTAACCCGATCTTGCAGGGCTGAGTGGATTGCAAGCCGGCTGTGAGGGGCACGGAGGGACCTTTAGTGTTCAATTAGCAAACGCCTCACTCTTTAAACAAGCAAGACAGCGAATGAATTCACTGGCTGGTGACAGGGAGCGTCTGCAGAGAGCAGGCAACTGCACCAGAGCTCCCGGCTTCCCGGGCAGGCAGGGCCCTCTAGAGGTCATTCGGTGCCTCCCAGCCTCCAGGCAGAACTGCACTGGGTCCAAGTAGGCCGGGTTGGACCAGGGTGTGATTTTTCCTGATAGCTTTTCTCTTTGAGTTTCTCATCTGTATGTCCCAGAGTATGTGTCTGAATTTTTATTACTATCCTCTGTGTTGTTGAAAGTGGTGAGAAATGATTAGTAATGGGTATTAGGGATAGAAGATGGTTCGAGGCAGGCGGGAGTTTTCTTGGGCTGTGGAAATGAGGAAAAAAGAATTGAGCCAACAGAGAATAAGGCATATCTAGAACTTCCTTTTGTGCTCCAAGAACTGCCTCCAAGCTGGGCAGCGAGGTATGGCTGGAGCTTGTCAAAATCTGATGTACCCACAGAGGGGGAGACACAGGCTGTCACAGCCCTCCCTCTGGAGGTCACTCCACAGAAAAGAGGGGAAGTGCCCTGGTTGGAGGGGTCAGAAGCAGAGCAGGATGAGGGAAGCAGCGCCATCCAAGGCAGGACTCTGTTCAAGTCCAAACTCCACAACCTGGAAAGTTCTGTCTCCGAGCCCATTTCCTCAGTTGTACAATGGAAATAGAGACCCACACAGCTGGGTTATCATGAAGTTTAAGGGCATTTTGTGCATTTTCCCCTCTTACAGAAAGCTTCAGCTGGAGGAGCGCTGAGGGAAACGCAGACACCCTCTCTGTTGTGTTCCAAGTCCGGGCTCCAAACCTACTTTGTGGATGAAAACTGAGCCCCTACTTTCAAGCTCTGGGGATCTTTTTTTCTCCTCCTCTGACTTTTGCCATTTTGTTCTTATCCCATTTGCAAATGACTCTGAGAACGCTAAGGTGGCAGACCTGAGCCAGAGCAGGTGTGGACAAAGGCAAATGAACATGTACTTCTTATACTTTATTATTTCTATCAAAGTGCAGAAAACCATCGAGAGATGCAGAATTCGTGGTTACTGATGTTGCTGAGAGAGCCACAGCACGTCAGAATAATCTAGTGACGGACTGAAGGTAGGTTAGGCTAGTCCTCTCGAAGGAGGGGTCGGGAAAGGGAGGATCCTTTTAAAAAGATTGAGGGTCAGGGTACTCTCTCTGACCACGACTGAAGAGTGGAGAGAGTTACCTGATAGCTTTGACATCGGCCCGTGCAATCGCCCTTAGAGAATGACTCCTCACTGGTAGGCCCTAATGCGCTGCCATTACATGTGAAAGGGACATGTGTAGGTGTTCCTCCATCCTCCTAGTTTGGAACAATAAAGAATACAGGTGTGACCCACTTTATGAAAATTCTATTATACAATTCTTCAGAGTTACAAAACAGAAAAATTAAAGCGCAGTCTTATAAATTTATTTAATTGCTTGATCAGAAGAGATCATAAAAATATACACTTTGTTTGCACATCCATGTTCATAGCACCCAGGTTCACAATAACCAAAAGGTAGAAGCAACCCAAGTGTCCACCAATGGACAAATGGATAAACAAAGTGTGGCATATACATACAAGGGGATCTCATTCAGCTTTTAAAAGGAATGATAGCTGTCACATGCTGCAAGATGGATGAACTTGAGGACATTATGCCCAGTGAAATAATCCAGTCACAAAAGGCCAAGTACTGTATGATTCCACCTACATGAAGTACCTGGGAAAGCCAGAGAGTGGAGTGGGGCTGCCCAGGGCTGGAAGGAAGGGTGAATGGGGAGTTAATGTCTAGAAGGTATAGAGTTTCAGTTTGGGAAAATGGAAAAGTTTTGGAGATGATGGTGATGATGGTTGCACAACAATGTGAATGTACTTAATGCCCCTGATCTGTACACTTAAAAGGGTTAAGAGTGTAAGTTATATCATGTGTATTTTACTACAACACAAATGTATCAACCTTGGTTCCAGTCGCCACTGCATTTGCCATATATGTGAAAACAAAAGAGAACATCTTGGCGATTACTAGGCAAGTAGGTGGAAAAGTGGTTGAATTTAGAAAACAGTCAACATATATAACTTCTGAGTTGTATTTAGTAGAGTATGATCAATATGTGCTGCCTAGGATTTTTTCAGCCCTGTCTATGGCTAATAAAGCAACTTCTCATCTGTGGTCCCATTTACTTCCAATAGCCTGGGGGGTCAAGAATGTCATTAATTTGGGAGAGCACTGGGAAGGTTATTAAAGGGCTCCCCCTCCCAGAAGATGGGACCACAATGAAACCAGGCTGTTTTTGATGGTCTGCAAGTGCAAGGACCATTCGGCCACTCGGGTTGGAATGGAGTTGTGCAGTTCAGAGAAAGCGCTCACTGGTGAAGAAAGGCTCAACCCAAGCTTCCTTTCTTGAGGGTGAGCAAGTCAGGACCAGATTCTGTAAACCAGCCAGCAGCACCTGGATTCTTTCCCTCACAGCCTGCTCCTCCGCATGCGTTCCCCATCGCTAGGACTGTCCCAGTTGCTCACATCTTTGCTGCCTCCAACGCAGTTAGGTACCAGTCAGAGATCCTGGATGTAAGAAACGATCTGGGCAGTTTGGGCAGAAAAGGAATTCACTGAAAGTGTTTTCATAGCGTACAGAGTGGCAGGGAGGGTTAGAGAACCAGTCTTGTAAAGCAGGAACAAAGAGTCTGATGCTGTTAGGACTTCACCAAGTCAAGCCCACGCAGCACTCCAGCGAGAA